CCCATACGGTGCAAAAGCAAGACCATGGCTCTACCAATGGGGAAGCTGGCAAAGCGAACTGGCAAAAGAGGAGGGGGGGCGGGTGACACCACAACGAGATAACAACTGGCAGGACTGGAATGACAGGGCTGCAGGTGAGGCGGCAAGAGCTGCTATGGGAGGAGATGACAAAAAAGGAGGGGAGAGTATGAAGCAGGAACATCTGAATAGTTGTTCTTTGCAGGATCAGGGAGAGGGAGCTGCAATCATCAGATCCACCAACAGGCTGCCGGATGAGAATCAATTTAACACATTGCAGAGTAACATAGCTAATGGGCCGCTGGAGGAGCCGGGCACAGAGACAGGCAGCTGTATATAGGCAAGCTCCCTAATCATCTAGCATTCTAACTCTGATGACGTCAAGTAGTTTGGCTGATGAAAGCTCAGTAAATAAGTTTTTTACTCACAGGCTTGTTTATATTAAACAGTCCTGTTTATTTTTATCCTGGTGTTCATTTTTCATATATATATATATGTGTGTGTGTGTGTGTTTTTTTTGATTGCTAACAAAGAATAAAGGGAGAACTGGAATAGCTATTTTGAGCTTCTTAACTCTCTTCAGCCAGACATACCCTTCTGAGATTCGAACCTGGGCTGTGTGCATGTTAGGCAGCTGTATTAACCTCTAAGCCACAGGCTCTTTCTCACTTTGTCAGCTGTATCAGGGAGGGAAGAGACAGGGGGAGGAGATTTACCTTGAGTGTTTTTTTGATGCACCGTATCGGCCCAAATATGGGAGCAAAAAATCTTTCTTTTTCTTTTTTTTATGCTAATCTAATCAGGATTGTGTCATCAATGCAACGTTTTTCATTGCAACTCTTGGACAGAGATAAAAAGGAAATCTTCTGATTTCCATTTTTGGGGGGAGTCATCAGTCTTGACACCCGCCAATTACATAGACAGGTCCTTAGTTTTCTAAGCAACATTTTGGGAAGGAGTTAGAAAGAAGGATGAAATGGATCAACTAAGTCAATATCACAAGCGCCCTTCAGATCAAGAGGGGCCTGTCTGAATGTGCAATAAAAGGAAAAAGATCCTCGGCATTATCCCTTTGGATAACTAAATATCAAGTTACTGAAAATAGTAGATGGGTGATATACAATATACAGTTTTAACTTCCTCTTTATCCGCACAATGTTAAGTTGCTGGCAAAAAGAACCAGAATAGCTAACAACCAGGACATAAATACTCTTTATGGCAGTCCATTGCTTAGTGAGATCTCCTAATACAAACAGAATCAAATGAAGTAATTATCTACCTGAGAATACATTTTCAAATTCGGGATGCTTGCTCCCATTTCTGCAGCCAATCTAAAATCCATCTATTGAATCTTGATATTTTTTTTTTAAGTTTATGCAAAAGATTTCACTCTTCTACCATACAATTAATATTTTGTCCAGAATTTCCAATGGGAGGAACTGGAATAAGAAATCGAATTAAATTAAAACAACTGTCAGGATTATTCATTAAGAGTAATTAGTCCTTTGATGTCTGGCTTGCTAAAAGTATAAAAGGTAATTAGCAATGTAAAGCAGAAAAATCCCTGGTCAATCTGAACCCACTATTAAATATTAATAGTGCAGTACTTTAGATTTGAAGGCAAAAAGTTGCTTTGGAGAATGTGAGAATGCATATCTGCAATAAATAGATCCTTTCCCAACAACATCATCTGGAAAGATTTTGAAATTATAAACCAGAATATTGGCCCATAGCAACTCATAGTATATAATTTTAGGCTGCTGTGATGTGCAGGTTAACACAATTAAGTATTAGTAAACAAATAGTTTTTCTTTTAAAGTTACACTATGAATTGCAGTATTCAGATTTATAAAACATCAAGGTATCTACCATTAAGAAATATAAACAGCAATCATGGATGCATTTAACTTTATGGGCAGTAATTATTATAAAATACACCTAGATTTATTTTCCTCCACAGGTATACAGTTTATTCATCATTATCTGCTGCTTCATTAATCCATGTAAGATTCAGATAAAATTAATTCAAGAGGCAATTAAAATCCAGGGCCCAAATTATTATTTTTTAAAAAACATTTCAGCTATTCTTTTCATGTAAGCAGAATGCTTAAAGAATTAAAAGACTTGGCTCAGCTTTAGCACTGGGACGTGGCAGGGTCAAAACATTTAGTGCATATTTAGTATATTTATACCAAACATATAGTAATATATACTAACATATACTAATTTATATTAAACATATTAGTATGCAGAATATACTCACTCCCCTTTTTCTGATCCCATTTAATCATTCCTCAAGAAAATGTACATAATGGACACATACATAATGGGCGCATATAAAAAGTATGTAATTTGGAAAGCATAACTATGGATGTTGTATTCATCATTTTCCCATTTATGATTTTCTCTGCGTTGTATGTATAATTCCTCACTCCCAAATGGACACACCTTAGAAATGATGGACATCTCACTAATTCACATTCAGTGCTACAAAATATGAATAAAGGATTAATTTAGCCAAGGCTTTTTTTTAAAAAAAAATTAAGCTAGAAAAGCTCTGGAAATCATTCACTACGCAATTTACCCAAATGATTTCTTTTCCAGAACTGAAGAAAACTATGAGAAACATTTTCTAAAAGCTTGAGTATTTCCAGATTTCTGGAACTGAAGCAAAGTATCAGGTAAAGTAAGGTAATTTATACTGAATATGCGAACAAACAAGTTAGCTAGGCAGAGATGACCAAAAAGAATGGGTAAACTTTAAATATTACAAAATTTTACTCCGTAACCACCCAGCCCATCTTCTATGAAATGCTGCAGACACTCGGTTTTCAGGATCCGAGTGGGAAGCTGCTTGTGAAATAAGTAAAAGTGGCTGCAGGATACTTATGAACTCAATAGTTTGTAAGGTGGTATCTCTATAAAACCAAAACTGGGGAAAAAAATCACACCAATACTGCTGGGGTTTTAATAATAGATGGCAACTATTCAGAATCAACAATATTTTTAGTTAGTTATTTTTTATCCCATCTTTATTATTTTTATGAATAATGCAATGTGCCAAACATATACCAGATTTCCTTCCTCGTCCTATTTTAATAATAATAATAACAATAATAACAATAATAATAAATAGAGGTCCAAAAGTTGAGATAGTGGTTCTGACCTCTCAAAGCCCTGCCAATTTGTAATAATAATAAAGTTGGAAGGGACCTTGGAGGTCTTCTAGTCCAACCCCCTGCTCAGGAAGGAAACCCTATACCATTTCAGACAAATGGCTGTCCAGTCTCTTCTTAAAAACTTCCAGTATTGGAGCATTCACAGCTTCTGGAGGCAGGTTGTTCCACTAGTTAATTGTTCTCACTGTCAGGATGTTTCTCCTTAGTTCTAGGTTGCTTCTCTCTTTGGTTAGTTTCCACCCACTGCTTCTTGTCCTACCTTCAGGCGCTTTGGAGAATAGCTTGACTGCCTCTTCTTTGGGGCAGCCCCTGAGATACTGGAAGGCTGCTATCCTGTCCCCCCTCGTCCTTCTCTTCATTAAACCAGACATACCCAATTCCAGCAACCGTTCCTTATATGTTTTAGCTAATACAGTTCCTCACCAATATGAAAGCAACCATTTTACAACTGTCACCTTCAACTGGTGCAAATCTCTTCCAAATGCACAACTATTTGCAGTTGTCTGGGATGGTCCCCCATTTTATACACAGGCTTTCCATATAGGTCCTTAATCTTCTCCACCAACAAATCCTCCCTTTAAACTACAGGCTTTGAGATTAACTCTTAATGCAATCATTTGGTACCTGTGATGTGGCACATACCTTAACCACTTGTCTTGTCAGTCTACAAAGAGTTGTGTGTCCCACAAAATGGTCTCACATAAATCTACTTAACTGAAGCTGGACCTGGGTTTCATAGATCAAGGAGCATTAGGATGCCAGCTATCAATGCAAGGTCTAAAGAAACAAAAAAGACAGAACCTAGATCAGCCTCCTTCCACACCTGTTAGCCTGGTTCTCGTCATTTGTGTTTATTTATTTGTGTAGAAAATGTATTGCTTGATTTTCCAAAATTAAAATCAACTCTAAAGCACTACTGAACCTCAGAGAGACATACCCTAGCCTAGCCTGTCGAAAGAGATCATGCAATGTGATCAGATCCATTTTTGGGTCATGTATGCCTAAAACTTTACATCAATAAAGTGAGGTTTCCTATCTACTTCTAGATAAATACTAGAAATTCTCCTGAATGTCAATGAAAGTTTGCATATGCTTTATTTTCAACTTTGGACAATGTTCAAACAATGACAGATAATCCAGAGATATCTGTATCGTTTGCACTGACTCCAAATCTGACTACAATCCAACTTCATTCCATAAAAACTTCGCAATATAATTTAATCCAAGGTGGAATATGACTTGCAATGCTAAGATACTGAACAAGGAAGCACAAGTATTAAATATGTTGCTGTTTTCACTTTATTCCTTTACCAAGTGATGGCCAGGACTGACAGTGGCCAAAGCTGATTGACATAGGCCAGTTTAACTCTTGCCTTATAGACTATTATAGCCCATGTATACAATTTAGGAAGGAAAAGTTCAGAATATTAGTTGAATCAGCCCCTATGAAAGAAAGTGAAGTGCAGCCATCAGGCTTGAGAAAAAAATGTGCATCTGCTTTAGTAAAGGATCATGCTTTACTAAATAAATAGTAAAAGTAGGAGAATGTTTGAATTTAGGAATCAAGGGATTCAGGATTCTGGAAGACTTGAAACGCATGGCATCAACCACAATCGTAGCTCCCTCTGATGACTACAGAATTCCACATAGCATTTTATTTTTGTTCATGTATTCCACTGACAGCTGACTGGTTATGTCCTAATTGCTTCCAAGAGAGGTCAGCAAAGGTTTTCCTTTAAAAAAAAATAATAATACTAAATAAGCTAAAGACAACACATTCACTCTCCCTCTCTGCCTCACTCACTCTCTCTCTCTCTCTCTCTCAAGCGCGCGCGCGCACACACACACACACACACACACAAGTGTATAGGCACACACCCTCTTGCGCATGTTGATTTATGGAAACAATTATGATCCTGTCGCAGTCTTTTCTGAGCTAGGGAAGTTTGGAGCTACAGTAGGACCTCTCATGTTGCAAAAGGCAAACAGCAGAAATGGAATACTTTTGGGTCCAGCTGTTATCAACAGGAGCAAGTAAGTCATCTGTCTTGAAAACTTTTCAACAGTCTGCTTAGCTGCTAACGTTTGCCATCCTCACTCTTCTGTAATATCAGAGGTAAGGCTCCTGACACTTTCTTAGGAGCCAGCAGCAATAAATCTCTGGGTTTGTGCATGTGTGTGAGAGAGTGGAGTGTGTAAAAATAGGGAGAAATGTTATCCAGTTCTCCTGATAATTAAAACTGGGTTATAGGAGCGAGCCTGTAGGGATTTCCTAACGTAATAGACCCGTGAAGCAATCAAATGATAGAGGGTTGAAAGAGTGGCTTTCTGCAGAAAAGTCTGGCAACTGAGCTGAATCGTAAGGAGCAGAGAGAACGGCAAAGGACATGCGAGCCCAAGAGCGTTATCGAGGTTGGGGAGGCTATGGTAGCGTCCTAGACCATTGCTAACGTGTCTGCATAAACATTTTGCCTTCTTACTGTTTTATTCATTGCTTATGTAATGATCATAACTATTTATGTGTACCAATTTCCTGATGGATCTTTTGCTTTCAGTGCGAGCAGCGAATATGAGTAGCAAAAGAAGTTACAGCAGCGGAGGATATTGCAACCTGTTTCTTTGAAGGAAATCCTGGATAGAGGATATTTAAAGGGGTGATTCTCTCTAAAACCAATATTTGAAAAGAAGTTTTGTTGTTGTTGTTGTTTCGTTTGCAAGAGGAAGCACAGTTGCCGGTTAAGTCACTTTACAAATCCAGGGAAAAACAGAGGACAGGTCAATGACCACGGAACGACGAGCTACTGAAGACGGATTTTTTTTCATTATGTTGTTCGTGAGCACCCAGAACACTGCACTATAATGCACAAATGGATATTGACATGGATCCTGCCAACTTTGTTCTACAGATCATATTTTTACCTTATCTTCCTGGTGGGTGCTCTATCCTTAGCTTGCAATGACATGAACCCAGAGCAAATGGCTACAAATGTAAACTGTTCCTCCCCGGAGCGACATACTAGAAGCTACGATTATATGGAAGGGGGGAATGTAAGAGTCAGAAGGCTGTTCTGTCGAACTCAGTGGTACGTCAAGATTGACAAGAGAGGCAAAATCAAAGGAGTACGGGATCTTAACAGCAACTACAGTGAGTAATCTCTTTTCCTCGAGATGAACTGAAAACTCCAGGCCATTGTAACAGTTGTTTGGGGCTAAGTAAAGGATGAGGGCAGAAGATACTGGCCACACTAGCAATTAAGCATTTTCCTATGAATCATATGACAAGGGCATTTGGTCTTGATTTATTTAAAAGGCATCGTTTTAAATAATATGTTTCCACTATGTTACAGATCGGCTAATGTATTACTTACAGCTGGTAACTATTAGCAGAGAAAGCCCAGTATAACAAGTGAATTAAGGCTGGTATGTATTAAGGTCTCAAATGATACAGATTGGACGGGATTTTTAGGGTTGAAATACAAGTTCCCTTATAGATATTGGTCTGGAGTTTCTAAACAGTCATATCAACACTTGACCGCAAGTCAAATTTAAAGAGGGAGAATAGGTCATGATAAAAACCACACGATAGTTTACCAGATTGGAATGGCCCATGAATATAATAAAAACGCAATGCTTTTTTTTTTGACAATCAAACATTTTTTTCCTATAGCTGAACATTATTTTAAAACCTACAAGAGAACCGATAAATGAATATTTTAAGTCCAATATTCATTCCTTTTTTATTCGTAAGTATTAATTATATAAATAGTGTTATAAATTTGATCTGTGATGTGATTCCGGTAAGAAAATCCTGAAATGCAGGATTTTCTTGCTAATATTAATAGTTTTATATCAGGCTTGAGATAATTTATTAAAAAAAATGAATGTAAAGGAAAAATGTATAAGGGAAGCATAGATCAGTAACTCCTTTGTTTACATTTAATATTGACCTGGGCAGGTCAAAAGTATACTTTACGCAGTTCTGCATCTAAAAAATTACGCTACCAGGCATAATTTATAACATTCTGTATAACATACCTGTCTTTTAAAACTGATTCTTATATTAGTTCAGGTCATTACTACATGGAATCAATTAGTACAAATAGATAAAATCTTAGTATAAGAACCTAAAACCAAAATAAGCCATTTTTATTCGGCTCTTCTGTAATCTCCCACTGCTTTGCCACATCAAAATGCATAAAAGTAACACAACTTGTATCTATATTTTTGTGCCTCAATTCCTGCAACGTTGAAAATAAGCTATTATCATGTTTTATTTCTTTACCCCCTATTTCTTTGGATGGATTTCTAGCACCTCATAGTGACCAATAATGATACAAAATATACTTTACTTCAATCTCCGCTGGTCAAGTTAGACCTCGGTTGGATTATATGGCTCTTTTAAAAAGGGTGCACACCTAGAATAACTGAATTTCTTATATGGGTTAAAACATTGAAGTTAATGAAGCCAACAGATCAATTACAGGATAAAAAGACCAGAGATTAATGACGAATCATGCAATACATCACAAGCGTATGTACATGAAGGGTGTGTTGGAATGTATATCAGTTTGAAGTAAATGTAACTGTACTTACTTCAGCCTTATAATATGTATTATTGCTCTCCACTGTATCTTGCCACAGAATTAAAACTCAAAAAGGAGGAGACTTCCCCTCCAACTTTAGGAAAATATGCATTAAAATAAATTGATCAACGCACTTATCCAAAACATACCGGATCGGGTCACAGTGATGTCAAAGTCTCACATTCAAAAACCAGGGTTTGGAATCCAGAATTCCAAATCTTTAAAATTCCTCTGAAGGATGTAAAGAGGTTCTCAGTAAGCTATGACAGGGAGGGGGGGGAAACTAATCAAACTGCCCCCAAAAATCTTTACCTGCGTGCAGGTTTGACATGAGCTCCTGGAATTCTGGTTGATGAAACTGGGACACAAGAACGAATGACCACCTTTGGTGTGGTTCATCTGGTACAGATTACTTCTTTTTTGTCAATTTGTAATTTCATTCCAATTCATTACCTGGTCAGGTAATGTGGGTTTCCAAGTGTGAGAGGAGAACCACACTGTGCTCGCATAAGGAGCAATTAACAGAGTGTAAAATAAGAGATACGCTGTGTAGAATAAGAGACACGGTGGCTAGAAAAGTGGTTCTTTTCAGCCGCCTCCTACCCTTGGTCCCCACAGTTAAGGAGACCTCAAAAAGGTTCTACTCTGTGTCCCAAGCCTAACCTTTCCTCCAGGGACACCACAGTTACAAGCAAATATCTGTACAATCTTGGGATTGCTGGAAAAGGATGCGGGTAGGAAAGGATGCTTCACGTTGTCTTCACCCTGTCTGCTCCTCCCCTCAGTCCTATTCTAAGACTCTCCCTTTTCTGGTGTTCCCAAAAACATATCGTCTTGTCCGTGTGCGTGTTTGTGTGCGTGTGTGTACATATGTATAAACCTCATGGTATAAACTTCATTCCCGAAATAAGGGCAGTGTGGAAAAGCAGTGGAGAGACAACTTACTTTTTTTCTGCTCAGATAATGAACCTCACATTCCATTTAGAAGGTCGCCTTCTTCATCTCTTCGGACAAAGACAGAAAGACACCCCAGCTTTCATCTCCTGGGGCATTAAATGTATCCCACTATTGACAGAGTCATGTGATTCCAACCCTGGTGTTCATGGTTCCACTGGGATTAATAATTAACAGCCATAAAGGCCACCCCTTAGGAGCATCTTAGTTATTTTCTTTTGTCAACAGAGTATCCAATAGGGTGGATACGTATCTGAGCAAAACCAGAAATATTTTTAGTATTTTCTTGACAGATAATCATGATCTATCCGGCGTCTCCACTACTGCCATCACTTGCAGCCCATTGACTAATCAAAGCTTGTTTTATTTCTATTCCATTACCCAAAGCATTCGATTGCCTCATTCAGAATGAGATTTCAGAATGAGAATTATCCAGAATCCCATTATGAACATACAAGACGCCATTATCTCTATACAGCCTTCTTGTCCGTATCTTTATCTAAATCTAAAAATATACCTTAGATAGCTTTTACATTCAGAGCTTTCCTTGATCTACACACACATACATATATACAAAGACTCATTCCTTTGTCTAGGCGTGTCCTTTCCTAATTCCTCGTGGTTGCTCTTTTAAACTTCATTTGCTCTCCTGGCCTTCTCTCTCTTAAATTCCTCCTTAAAGTTCACCCTATGAATAAGGATTTTAGCTAGAGTCTCCTATTTAAATGTATATATTCTCTTAACAGAAGGTGTGAATTTTTTCTCTATTACTTTTGTGTTGATGTACTTTGTGTGTGTGTGTGTGTGTGTGTGTGTGTGTGCGTGTTTGAGAGAGAGAGAGGGAGGGAGGGAGAGGGAGAGAGAGAGAGAGAGAGAGAGAGAGAGAGAGAGAGAGAGAGAGAGAGAGAGAGCGCTTTTGAGTCATTGTTGACTCTTGGCCAACACCTGGACGTATTCCTGCAGTTTTATTGACAAGTTTTGGAAGTGAGTGGTTGGAAGTGGGTTGGATTAATTTAGCTACTAGTGCAACTCTCTCCCAACTTCATTCTCTGCAGTGGAGTTGGGATTACTGGTTCCAGTGTTCCTATTGCCTGTTCTTGCTGGGAATCCGGGAAACTATAACTTCAATATATCGTGAGGATAACAAGTTGAAGTGACGTTAATATGTCATTAGCTGTTCTGCCCTCTTGGAAGTACAGATTTCAAAACACACCTGTTTATATGTTTCTATTCTCACTAAGAACCATTCACTGTAAGTTGGGGGTGTCCAACCTTGGCAACTTTAAGACTTGTGGACTACAACTCCCAGAATTCCTCAGCCAGCATGGGGAATTCTGGGAGCTGAAGTGCACAAGTCTTAAAGTTGCCCAGGCTGGAGACCCCTGCTCTAAGTCTTGTCCACGCAGCTGCCCATAAGATACCTGTAAGGCCAATGGAAGATCCTCCAACTTAGAAGTCTCTGTATACAAACAGATCTACAAAAAATGCTACCAACATCCACCTTGATTTCCCTTCACTCAACATCTGAATTATAACATATCTATTGAGCTTCCTCTTTAAAAAGTAATAATAATAGCAATAGTAAAGTTGGAAGGGACTTTGGAGGTCATCTAGTCCAATCCTCTGCTCAGGCAGGAAACCCTATACCATTTGGGACAAATAGCTGTCCAGTCTCTTCTTAAAAACTTCCAGTATTGGAGCATTTACCGCTTCTGGAGGCAGGTTGTTCCACTGGTTAATTGTTCTAACTGTCAGGAAGTTTCTCCTTAGTTCTAGGTTGCTTCTCTCCTGGATCAGTTTCCATCCGTTGCTTCTTGTCCTGCCTTCAGGCGCTTTGGAAAATAGCTTGACTCCCTCTTCTTTGGGGCAGCCCCTGAGATATTGGAATACTGCTATCATGTCCCCCCTCGTCCTTCTCTTCATTAAAATAGACATACCCCATTCCAGCAACTGTTCCTTATATGCTTTAGCCTCCAGTCCCCTAATCATCTTTGTTGCTCTTCTCTGCACTCTTTCTAGAGTCTCAACATCTTTTTTACATCGTGGTGACCAAAACTGGATGCCGTATTCCAAGTGTGGCCTTACCAAGGCCTTGTAAAGTGGTATTAATACTTCACATGATCTTGATTCTATCCCTATTAATGCAGCCTAGCACTGTGTTGGCTCTTTTGGCAGCTGCAGCACACGGCTGGCTCCTATTTAAGTGATTGTCTACTAGGTCCCTCTCACAGTTACTACTATTGAGCAAGGTGCCACCTATGCTGTACTTGTATATTTGGTTTTTCTTGCCTAAATGTAGAACCTTGCTCTTGGTCAGCTCTTGGAGGGAAACTCAACCTGAACATTTCTTGTATTTTCAAATAAATATTTATTCTTTTAATATTGTAAGTCAGTCTAGCCAATATCCTGGGTGGAAATCCTGCTGAAGATCTTATTAAGGTACCCAAAGCAATATACCAAAACCAATTTGTCTGCTTCGGCCATGTGCTTTAAATGAACAGAGGCTGAAAGTGTGACCTCATTGCTATCAACAGGCCTGGATTTTCTCATGATTAAAGTGACAGATCCCTAAAGCTGGAAACATGTGGGAGGTTTCTGTTTTCAGTTA